AAGATCATAATAATCATAGCTTTATTTTAGATTATTTTTTCTTTTGTCATGCTGGTGTGTCACAATGGATGACTTGTCGTGCTAATATAGCAAATATTCCGCGACCAACAGATTTAAATAATATGAAGATTTTAGAAGGCTGTATTGTTACTGATATACTTTGGTCAGATCCAAAACCAAATCAAAAATTGTTAGTAATTTTATTTAAATGATTTCCTTTTTACACTTTTTTTTAAAATAATGAAAATGTGAAGTGGCAATATTAATTAGATAAAAAAAATAAAGTTTTTTTTGTTTATTTTCAAAAGTACACATTTCAGGCCATTTAATTTAAGTGAACGTGGTTGCTGTTATAGTTTTAATCGAGAAGCATTACATGCGGTACTTCGAGCATTAAATGTTCATACATTAATTCGTGGACATCAAATAATTCCGGAAGGTATTTTAGATAATTTCGATGACGGAAGTTGTATTACTGTTCACACAGCTACTCGTGAAAGTATCGGTTGTAATGCATGTAAGTATTTGTATTTCATTTCCATGAAATGACTTCAAAATTAAAAACATAGAACTGTAGGATTTTGAAAAAAAAATGAAATTAGATAAAACACTTTTAAAAATATTGCATTGATTAAATGCATTATTGATTGGTCCATTTATAAATTTAAATCAAAAATAAAAAAGAATTTGCTGTGCTTTTTTTTCATATGCTTTGATGTTTTTAAAAGATCGATAATCTTTAGAAGATCATTTTTGTTATGTTTCCACGTTGTCATAGTTTGTCACATTTTCAAATGTTTTTAAATTCATCATTGTTTTATTCTAGCTGGCACAATTAAAATAGCTCGCAAAGATGACGGAAAGTTTGTCATGGAAAAACGTATAGCTAAGGTATGGCATACGTGATGATATCACGTAGCTGCAATTTTAGGGAATTAGAAGTAATAAAAGGACAAGTAGAGAACTTATCATCAAAGATCACTTATCTCCTTATCAGCTTCATATTATTTAGCTGTATTTTTTTTCTTTTGATAATATTTGAGTTAGACAGAATAAACGTACGAGAATAGCAGTAATACAGAGATATTTTCATTTACGTATAAGTTAGTGTAATACACGTAAATATTTTTATAGATAAAGAGCAAAAAAGCTCTAGTTAATTTACGTGATACAGTTTACGCATTGTTATGTGAAAGTCTGCAACACAACAAATTGAATCGTGTTATCCGGAAATGTCATTGGTGCCGGAAAGCTTATCCTAGGAATATTACCTGCCGGATACGTAATTCGGGTATAGCCGAAATAACCTTATGGATTTCGCGATATGCTTTTCGCTATGCACTATGTGATAAAATATTTCAGGTTTGTTGTGTACTGTATGAATAGAAAGAAAAATTAAAAGTTTAAAAAGCTCGGCAAGTTCAGAGGAAAAAAATAATTAATTTTAGCTAAAATTAATTTGCGAAGAATATGCTTGTGAAATTTTTGCTGAAATTTTGATATGAAAAATTTGACATCATCTAAATCACATTTTTAAACCAATCAAATGCTTATACATTCTATTTCGAAGTATCACTCATTTATCTTATCATTTCAAAATATCAGTTACTTACCCATCTATCTAATCTTTCTCTCTACCTATTTATGTATTTTATATGGTATCACTCATTTATCTTATCATTTCATTACTTACCCATCTATCTAATCTTTCTCTTGATCTACTTACGTTTTTATATGCATACTTGTATATGCAATATTGGAATTCATTATTTTCTTAAAATAAATTCGTTTATTTCTTGAGATAGAGCATTAATTTGTGGAATGCTGCATCTTATCAGAGCCCTTATATTATGATAATAAAAAAAATCACCGTGACATTGTCACAATATGAATTATTATGAATTAATTAATAACTCATTTTGAAGGAAGCTTGGAAAAATCGAGATGATCGAGCGATGAGTCAACGAGCTTATCAATTATTCCCGGTATTATATGATGCGATTGCATTTGAAGGTGGCACATCAACAACTCCAACCACATATCGTGTCATCTTGGCGGAATGGGAAAAAGAACTTTTATTCAAAGTTTTCCGACTTCTCCCCGTTTTTTTTCTTTTTATTTGCTTAATAGTTAAGGAGATATTTTTAGGAAAAATTACATGATAAGATATTTCATAATCTAATTAATTAGTAGTACATCTAACTATCATCTAAGTCATAACTTAATCCATACTTCTGTTACAATAATGTTAAGAAATATTATATGATAAGATAAACATGATATAAAGTTATAAGTGATAAGATACGTCATGATCCATGAAAGTTATATGTAGCTCACAAAACGAGTATACAACAATTGGAAAAGTAGCTATCATCTAACCATTATATCTTATCTATTCATAACTCATTGCATATCTTCCCTACAGTAAAGTTAAAGAAATATTATGTGACAAGATAGGTTGCAATATATCAAAATATAATCATTAATTAATGCAATTACTAATTAATTTTCACATCATATCTATTCATCAATGAATAATTAAAGTGAAATTTACAAAAACAAAGACTTGTCATCTTTTTGTTTTTGTTTTTTTACTAAATCAAAATTTTAAAATTATTATTTATTCTTTTTTTTCAAAACTGTCATTGCAGTTATTTGCGACAGTTTCTGATTTTAAAATGACTGAAACATTAGCAAATGACATTGACCCAGGCCTATTGGAAATTCAACAACACCGATCAAAGCCTAATTTACTAAAGCGTACTTCTCGACGTATTCGAAATATACTGAGACATGCTATTGTATGTATGAAATTGCTCTTAAATCATTTCTTACCTAGTTAAAAGCAGTAATTATTGATTTTTTTTTGTTGTTTATGAAAATTAAAAAAGATTTGCAATAGTTGATAAGTTAGTAAAATTGACAAAAGTATTGCTGTAATGAAATTAATCAGTCATTGAAATGATATCTGTAATTAAGTAATCCAGAAAAAATTTCAACATAAATTTTTTCTGGTAATTTCAAAAAATAAAAATCAGTCATGAAAAGCTCAAAAAAAATAACAATTTACACGATGGTTGCCAAAAATTATTATTCATTCAATTATGCAAATTAATTGTGTTCTGAATTAATTGGACAAATTTTTAGTTTTTAGTTGCGGTAGTTTTTTCTTCCTGAAAAGTTTGCAAATTTTTTTTTTTATAGGGCCTTCGTGATTTGTCTTCATTCAATGATAGAGATGTATCAGGAATATCATGAAGACTATAGTTGATTCATTTAAAAATTTTACTAATTTTTAATGTCGCAAGAAAATTGCTGGAAATTTAATTTTCCAACCACCCGCCCCAAAAAAAAAATTACTGTAAATGGAATATTTGCAAATGAATCGTTTGTGTAATAAAAAGTATTCAAATTTTATTCGTTAAATTCCTTCCATTTTACTTTGTCAATTTTAGTCCCACATAAAAAAATTATGATATTTCTTTTGGAATAGTCAAAACCACTCGAAATAACCAAATGGAATGAGTTAGAAATGAAAAAATAAAATGCTTTGAATGTTTGACTATTTTTTTTTCGAAAATATATTTTCATTTTACTAAATGAGTGGGAAGTTAGTAAGCAAATGAGCACTACTTCTTTTATTTTCAACAAATTAATATTTAAAATTAGTATTTTGTACTTTTAAAAAAAACTCAAAATAATTTTTGGAATCATGAATATTATTCAAATTTTATTTTCATCAAATTTATTAGCATAACATATTGAAGTAAAGGAAGACATTTAATAAATTTGAATGCCTTGCCTTACTTCTCCAATTTGTTATCGTTCCAGCAAATTTCACTAATTCCATAGCTAACATTTAATTGTTTTCTTAATGAATGATAATGATAAGTATATGATATCAATAAACTTTACTTATCATGCAATGTACGTTCGACGATTTTGCATAAAGCAATCATGTAGTGAAATAGCAATTTTTGTAGTATTTTAGATTCAATAATTGCATTTATCAGTATGTTATTACAATTTTATCATGCAACATAATGCATATATTTAAGTTAAAAGCAATAATTGGAATCATTTTAACAAATCACACTTTAAAGTACTTTGTTTCAAAATTTTGTCCAACTTGTTTTGTTTGCATGTGCTAATTTTTCAATCAAGACTTTACGAATTACGACTTTAATCAAGACGTTAAGGCTAACTTAATGACATTAAGACTAATTAAGATTTTACGCTTATTTCGAATATCAAAGAAATTCCTTTACCTAAATTTCACTTTAATCAGTCGAAGTGGAGCATAAAATAATCAAAACTTGACTATAACTGCCAATTTTTAAACTTCATATTCGCTATTAAACGACTATTCAACCAATTTCGTATTTGTTCCGATTTAAACACATCAAGGTGTACGATGAAAATTTCTAATTGCTTTGAAATATTGAAGTCTAACGTGAATTGATACTGTTAATTGATATAACTTAATTGAAAGGATTGATGCTGTTAATTGATATAACTTAATTAAAAGGATTGATGCTGTTAATTGATATAACTTAATTAAAAGGATTGATGCTGTTAACTGATATAACTTAATTAAAAGGTAGTTAGAGCAAACTGAATAATTACAGAATGCTTTCTAATATTTGAATTGAACTCTAACAATTATCTTTAGTAAGAAAGTAAATTTTTCATCAAAACTACTTATTGATAATTGACAAAAAAGACAAGTAAATATAAAGTGAATCAAAATTTATGCAAATATTTTCAGTATTTATTACACTATTCAGTATTAAGTTTTCTATTTCCAATTTAGTTCTTTAGTTTTCAAACTGCATGAAATGTGTCTTTTTTTTTTTACTATCTTCCTTTTAAATCATAATTATCATTTGATTCTTTTCTTATTGCTATTATTGATTTCTGGAGCGATTATGAGCACCAAAAAAGTTCAAAGTGTTTGGGATGTCATCAAATTGTGGTTCCCTTGTACGTTGATAAAAGAATGTGGAATCATATGGCATCACATTATCAGATGACATAGATCCGCTAAATTCATCCTGTTCTTCCGCTGTTTCATCTGATTCATTACTCCTTTCACCTGTTGCCATATTAAGCACATGTCCTTCTGCTTTATTGCCATCTTCATTAGTGACATCAAATGAAAGCAACGGCAAAGCAATAGGCTTTGTTGTCATATTTTCTAAATCTAATTTGTGTGGCTCTAATCCCTGAAATTCTTTGACATAATAGAAAAACGATAAATCATTTTGTCATTTAATAAATAAATGAAAGGATGCGTGAATGATTGTTCCGTATCCGGATACATTCACATACCATTGCAAGCTTAATCCGTTTTTAAATTTTTGAAATCGTGATACTGGCATTTGAAGTTCTTTATCAGCATCAGAAATATTCCGAAAATTTGGTTTCGTTAGTGTATCGAAGTCTTTGCCGTTTGCTTTGTATATCTACAATACAAATAATTCATTCACAAACATATTTTACAATTAGTGATTAGTTAAAATTTACCGAAATCTAATTTTTTAAATTGAAACTTGAAAAGTTACTGTATGCAAGCAAATTACTATGTTCACAACGATTTATGGAATTAAATGTTTAAATATTGCTTCTATGTTAATGTAATAAAAATTTGCATGAAAATGAAAATGTTGAAAATAAACAAGTTGAAAATCAGTTGGGAACAACTTGAACACTAATTAGGGAATCAATTTTTGCTTTTCAATGAATTAACTAGCCTTTTTCATTAGTTCAAATTCTTCCTCTAATACGCAAACACGAAAAGTTCTTGGAATATCATCATCTGATGGTCGTCCAAAGATGATATCATATGTCACAGGAAATAAAACGATTGCTCGTTTCATTGCTACAAATTGAAATTTGTATTTGAAAATAATTTCCGAGTATGAAGCAATCTTTGACAAATAATTAATCATTTGATTTGAAAAAGTATAGAAATTCACCAATTGTTTATTCAATCAAAGATTAATGATACGATGACAATAAGTTTTTCATATAATTTGAAAAAGTAATTTGAAATTCCTTTCGCATTAACTGCGAATTTAACTATTTTTAACTAGCATTGTAGTGATACCATAATCAATATTATAATAAAACCGTAATTGGTATTGTAATGACAGTAGAATTGATAGTATTTGAAAAAGTCATTTGAAATTCTTTTTGTATTAACTGTGAATTTAATCATTTTTAACTAGCACTGTAATAATACTGTGAATAATATCCTAATGGTACTGTAACTAATGCTGTAATCACAATAAAATTCATAGTATTTCGGAGAGAAATAATTGCTAAAAAATCATATGTCAACCTGAAATACTTCGCCAGAAAATTCCTCTCCAATACAGTCTCATGATTAATTTGTCGGCAAACAATACAAGCTTTCCATTTTTCATCATATAATCCAATATATCACCATATACAATGCAACGTTTACGACGTGTTACGTAAAGTGGATACGGTTGTTCACACCAATGACATCTCATGCGACAATATGAGATGATTGTGGGAAGAAATGAGTGTTGCAGTTCTAATTGCATTTCATGGGCTAATAGATTTGCTTCTGCACTACGTGGTATCAATTCACTGTTTTCAACTACCTCAAATTTACCAGCTACTTTTTCCAATTTTAATGTTCCACCTAAAAAAAAAAAAATTAATTGCTTGGAATACTGTAGTGCTAAAAGATGTCATTATTATCAGAATACCGTATCATCTTGTAATTTTGGAAATGATACCATAGTAATATTGAACTTACTTATCAAACTTATCACCTTACTATGCAATACGAAATACTTAACAAATCAATTCATTTCCAGTATGAGAATAGATTTTTATCATTGAGAAAAGCTTCATAATGATAACATAATCAATCAAAAATTATTAAACTTACTAAATGGTTCGTAAAAGTGATCAGTAGTACTATGTACCGTATAACACGTATCATCACCAAAGTTTCGAGCAGTACCACCGGGATAATATTCATGTCCACGAATTAAAGTTTTAACTTTTAGCACATCAAGAACAGTACATAATGCATTATGATTAAATGAATAACCGCAATTTCGTTTACTTAATGTAAACCATCTGAAAATTTCACGCATATTTAATATCATTCATTTATCAAATATTAATGAAATTTGTTAAAAGTAAACAAAAAAACATGTTGAAATTTAAATATATTACATACTCTATTTGCTCAGGAATGGGATCAGCCCAAAGAAGATCAGCAAGAATTACACCTTCAACAAAATGCATATTATTGGTATAAGTTGGTTTTGGGATATTACTTATATTGCTTCGACATGTCATCCATTGAGAAATTCCACCATGACAAACAAAAAAATGATCTGAAGAGGTCAGAAATTAGTTGTATTATTAATTGGTCTATTAGATTTTGATCACTATTTAATCATAAAGTTAATATTATTAAAATTGAATAAACATTTCTAAAGCTATTTATGCTTCACTCATATTACATCAATAGAATTAAAATATCAAGTAAACTGGTACTTTCTTTTCATAATCTCCTAAAAATTATCAAATCATTTGAATTTAAAATTTATTTATAAGTAAGAATATGATAATTTCGATAAGAGTGGTTGGGATTATTTATATCACAATTACATTATACTCACTTGAAATAATTGCACAAACAGGCATATGATCAAATACATGATTAATTTGGGTGAACCATCGATGACCTTGTTTAAATGTACGCAAGCACTGGAAATTACTGATTAAAAAATGAACTACGTAAAAACTAATTCCATTTAGTTGCTTAAATTCTTGCTCAATTTCACCGACTTCATTATAAAAATCATATTCTTTGCCACACTGATAATCTTCATGATTGCCTTTTAGTGTTGTGATATAATTTGGCCACCGTAATTTCATTAAAAATATGAATAGTATTAACTGTACTTGATATAATCCGCGATCAACATAATCACCTGAAATTTATACAATTGATGTAAAGATTAAAAATTAAATTTCAGAAAGGAAATAAAATTTTGAGGTTTAATTTTGCATGAAATGATTCGATAAAAATACAAATATCAACGAATATATTACTAAATTTAATGCATTGAACTTTGTAAAAAATTTAAATTTTCTCAATAGAAGAAAAATTGAAAATTGAGCAAACCTAAAAATAAATATTTTGTACTTGGTGGAAAGCCTTTTTTGAGTAAAATATTTAATAAGCAATACAAATCACCATGTAAATCACCAACAACAATTAATCCATTTTTAGGCAAATCAAATTGTAGCATTATTGGCTCTTCAGCGTATATATCTTGTACGTTGTGCAAAATCTATAAATATTTTTCGCATAAAAAATACGGCAAATTTAATAACAAAAAAACGCGTGATAATTGTAAATAAAGTGTATTAATTAATTAACTCTAGCATAAATCATATACGGCAAATTCAATAACAAAAAAAAAAACACGCAGTGATGGCAAATGAGCATATTAGTGAATTAATTAATTATTCCATTAATTCATTTGACAATGATTCAAAACCTTACCGAAAACATTTATTGATGATATTCTAACCTGGATTTTAATTATGAAATTTTGACGTACCGTAATTAAGTCATTATCATTGAATGTTGGAAATAATGCGCTATTAGTTTCCACTATTTTCATTAAATTGCACATATATTTTTCAATAATTTCTTGTGTTAAATGATAGCATACCATTTTTTTTTTTGCTAGAAATTAAAATCGAAAAATTATTTTCTTTTTTGACATCAAAAAGAAAAATTTTTCGAAAAATAGAAAATTAAAATGTAACATTACAGAAAGAAATTTTTTTGGAATGTTTTAATTATTGGGCAGTTATGAAATAGACCATTCAGAGAAATGAACTTTGAATTTTTATTTTAACGAAATCTAATTTTCGGTTCAAATTATCATAAATGCAAAGTTGGGTAAATACTATTTAAAATATATCATCAGTTAAATTTTTTATTGATTTAATCATTTTTAGCTTTAAAGATTAAATTGAAGTTGACAAGGAGAAAAATGTTTCTTTTTTTTTTGGAACAAATTTAATTTTAAACGAATCGGTTAAGCCAACATTACTATCCAACATATGCAAACACATACAGATATTTGCATTTGAAGTGATTTTTAATCAGACATGTAATTCTGAATGGATTGCAGATTGCATTTGCGCAATAATTGCATCTTTTGGGAATTTTGGCATTTGAGGTAACAAACATTGGTTATACAATGCTTGAGATTACAATGTAATTTGCATAAATGATAATACGAGCATATTACTTGCAAAAAAAAATATCTCCGATGAAGAATTTAATTTTCCAAATTGTCAAATTTTTGCTTTTTAAAGCAAGTAAATTTTTGGAAATTTTTGCAAAAATTGAAGTTAAATTGAGTTATGTTTATTAAATTGAATTTAAATTTAAATTAAACTGAATGTTAGCAAACAAATTATTTGAAATTTAAGAAATTTTATTTAATTTATTACTGTTGTTTTTGTAGAATTAATTCTCATATCCAATCAAAAAGTAACTAAAAGTATAAATTAAACTATTTACTGAGCAAAATTAATTTTATCAGATATACCTCATTCAGTGAATAGTTTGCAGAATAAAAGAAAACTTAGAGATATAAACCGTTCGAAAGTAAAAAATTTAGTAAATCACTTGAAGCAATAAAAAATTTTCTAATTTTATAAAAATCTTTGTGCATTCGCAAAAATTTGCATTTATCAAATTTTCCATATTTTGATAATCGTGATATCATGAATATAAGAATTGATGGGATATTTTCCATATTTTGATAATCGTGATATCATGGAATGCAAGAATTGATGGGATATTTTCCATATTTTGATAATCGTGATATCATGGAATGCAAGAATTGATGGGATATTTTCCATATTTTGATAATCGTGATATCATGAATGCAAGAATTGATGGGATATTTTCCATATTTTG